TAAAATGCTGCTCCAAGATTGGGTTGACCCAGTCCCCAGCCTCACCCTGACCGGGGAAGTTGTAGAGAAAGTAGATAAGTTTTGCTACCTGGGCATGTGTATCTCAACTGGCGGACGCATCACAGATGAAGTGTCGGCGTGTATACAGAAAGCTCGGTTGGTATTTGCCAACTCGAGGCATCTGTGGCGCCGTTGCGACATCCGGTTGTCTGTGAAGGATCGAGTATATGCTGCAGCAGTTCGACCAATTCTGCTTAACGGTGCAGAAACTTGGCCATTAAGAAAATAGGGATAAAGATAGACTTTCGGTGTTTGAACACCGCTGTCTACGTAGCATTGCACGAGTCTGGTGGGGAAACCGAATGAGCAATGCTGAGGTTAGGCGTAGAGTTTTAGGTAATCGCGGTCTTCCCCTGGAACAGGTAGTCGACCTCCATAGAATACACTGATTGGGACATGTGCTACGCATGTCACCAGATAGGTTACTACGGCGAGCGATGCTTGGCGAGGCAGGTAACGGTTGGAAAAAAATGAAGAGCGGTCAAGCTAAGACATGGCATGAGGGTATGAAAACCCTAACCAAGAGACTGGCTCACATAGGTCCCATTAAGCTCCCTGGCTAAAGACGCAGAGATCATAGTCACTGGTGGTTAGAGACACTGAGTGCTATGGTTAGGTGTCGCAAACCGTGGCGCTCATGCATCTACTCATTATTCTTTTAACTTCAGTCTATGAAAATGTGCCACCTTTCGCTTGAATCTGCTCTCAATATTCTAATCATCATTCTGCTATTTTATCCAAATGGGCAACCAAAAGACAGCAACGTAAACCGGCGCACGAAAGTGCATGGTTAATGGTTGTAAGAACTGAGCTGAACTGAACTTTGTATACTCCAAAGGTCACAGGTTCTAAGGTCCTTGAGACTGGGCATGGAAAATTGAAAAAATGGCAGAATGGACCAGTCACAGGCTAGAAAATGGAGGTGGACCGATAGGACATAGATGCGTCTATCGACTAAGTGAGCCACCTGTTCTCTGCTGAACCGATACTTCGGGTCTCAAAAACTTACTGAGCCAATTTGTATCACACCAGGGTTTGATAAGCATAGCCGACTGTTTTTATCTGTTTTGGTACTAGCTCTTCAAACGATAATCTCCTCTCCTATAACCTCTTGTCTGTCTTTTGCACATTCTCACTCCGTTCTATGATGCAGCGTTCCACTTGTGTGCTTCTGTGATTGCTATATAAGACTTTTGTTGGTGACGGAATTTCGTCTCCCCACTTTCCATTTCTGTTTCTCTCTCGTATTGTTGGCTAAGTAATACGGTCATCAAATTTCAGCGCCCCGGAGAACGTGTGTTTGAATCCTACCACCTGTCTATGTGGCATCTCTGATTGGTCGCTTCTCTCTTCCCGACAAATGTATCATTTTGTATTCAATAAAAGGAAGTAAAATAAAGGAATAATGATAATTCATATCACCAGAAGGCGTTGATTTGTGGATTTTCACGTTTACCCAACTGAGTGCTTTGGAATGATATACTTTCTGCGTCACCTATCCTCGAAGGTTGATTACTGCTCTGGGTAAATAACCAAATCTTGTGACAACGTGGGGTCCGCATTCCAAGTCCCTCCCTCCCCCCACACACAGATACATGTATTTATCTTTTGGGAAACATCTGGTCACAAGTGCTGGCTAGCACTTTGGTGACGATCGAAACTGAACTTATTTCTCGGTGGTTTGCACAGTTGGTATGTGACATGTTAGCTCGAAACGCCCAGGAATCCATCACGGGATAATGGGTTACGCTCCGTTGACCAGTACAGTAAGTCACTAATAACACCTTCGAGGAAGTCATCTCCGTTCTTGAAAAGAATAGAGGAGGGTAGTTCATCAGGGCCAGCTGGTTTCCCTCGCCACAAAGCTTGAGTGCAAGACCTGTCACGACGGGTCTGCACCTGGATGTGATGTGATGATCTACGTGCCTCCGTGACCCTGCGAGCTGTACAGGATGGCTTTTCACAGTCGTAGATCCAATCGTGACTGAAAGGTCAATGAGCAGAGGCCAGACGAAGTTCTGTCTCACAAGGTCAGCTGCTCGAGCACCTGCATTCCTTTGACCATCCACTCTCGCCCCTAGAGAGGTCACTCCATCAAATTAACACGGAAAGGGGCACTTTACCAGTAAAAAGTCCCGCAAGATGGACGTGTAGGCTGTGCCGAGAATTTTGCGATATCTTTATGCTAACAGCCGAAGCCGAGTCCGAGCTTACGGCACATTTGCACTCGAGTCCTTTACAGAAAGTTTTGTTTATCACGGTTACCCTCTCTCTCTCTCCTTTTCCACGTAACTTTGTCCTATGTTTAATCACTGAACCAACCCTGTTGCCGTGCGAGTATAGCGGCATCGATTTGCTCTCATTGAGCAAACTGTCTGATCTAAAGTATGCAGACGACATTGTACTGATAAGTGAAGATCCAGGTAAGTTGCAAGCTTTTCTGGATAGTTTGAGTGCCAGTGTCGCCATGTTCGAGTGTGCTGCGGCAGTTCGGCCAGTTCTACTAAACGTGGCGCAGAGAATAAGTTAAAAACAGTCGGTTGGTGTTTGAACACCGCTGTCTACGTAACATTGCATGAATCTGGTGGGGCAACTGGATAAGCAATACAGAATTTTAGGTAATCGCGGTCGCCCACAGGAGCGAATGTTCAACGTTCACATTTTTTGTTGGTTGTGAATGTGTTGCTCATGTCACCAAATAGGTTCCCATGGCGCGTGATTTTTTTCCGAGGCAGTTAATGAGTGGAAAGAAGCCAAAAGTGGTCAAACTCAGGTCTGCCATGATTGTGTGAAAACCCTGACCGGAAGACTCGGTCTCATTGTATGAAAATGTATGTTTGTGGGCGAGGGGAGTGGGACTGGGTTTGCACACTCAGATGAGATGGAGTGCTTGGTTACTTCTTGTTCACATAATTCGCGGGGTCAAATGTTTAATACAAATGGCTTCGGCTGTGGTTAACGTACGCATTCTAACCTATTTCGAGCGGTTCAGGGGAACCTGATATTCAATGCGGAGTGCTTCACAGGGATTAACTGGATAAGCGAATGACATTGAATTCAATGTTTCCAAATGCCAATTCCTATCCCTACGCCACAAGAGATTATTCTCGTATTTCCCCGGGAATCAGCAGCTATCACATAATTCAAATGAAGGGGACTTAGATTTCGTTGTTCAAGAGAACTTAAACTGTTCGATCAATTGTGCTTAGGCTTCGTCCGCTGCTGTGAAGAATGTCGGCTTGCTTAGACGAGTCTTTGGCCGGTTTGAATGAGCACTGCTCCCACGTTTGCTATCAGTGTACATTCGACCGTACACAGAGTATTCTATCCAAGCTTGGAGCCCATGGTTGCAACGTGATCGTAAGATGCTTGAGCGTCTACCAGATAATCAAGGGATTGCCTGGGGAGTGATCATTGGGATTATATTCTGGTCAGCACTGCCGAATTCGATGATATTTGATTTTGGTGCACCAAATATTACTGAATTCAAACCATTCATGTCTACCCTGTTCATGTTGTCGAACAATGTGTAACTTAGAGATACCGTTTCAAGTTACTGATTCCACAGTGTGAACTGAAACGCCGGCGCCAATCTTTTTCAGTCAATTCTGACTGTAGTACTTGGAACACCCTTCAATCTCATGTAGTTTGGGCACCAACTATTGAATCTTTCAATCGGAGACTCGGCGAAACCCTGGTACACCTCACATTCCTGCACAACTAAAAATAAACGCCAATTCGTTGAAGACTACATAATCTGTTATCTTCTATCTGGAACTCTGTGTCACAAATGATTTTTTCGCCGTGAAACGATTCATTTTTGTAAATATCCTACGGGACAAGAGAAGCACCAGTTTGTAAGTAATTCCCATGATAAAAATTTGACATCGATAACCATTGTCTACCAAGTTTTACGCGTGCTTTTATATGGAGCTCTGCACATGGGTTGACTGTCATCTCATGGTTTGTTCCATTCGCGCACATCGCAGACATCATTAGTACGAGAGTATTCACTGGGGTCAGAATTCCCTCACCCAACCATATGACCCGATTCCGGATCAAGCTCGGCATGCAAAGTTTTGCTTTGTTGCCCAATCACATGACTTGTTTGTTTGCATCCGAACAGTGGTCAGAAATAGTCAGATTCATCTACTAACTATTTCACAAATTGATCACAGTCCACACGTCACCTTGGTCGTTCCTCCTCTTCCAAATTTCTACACCAGACGTATTGCAGGGTGCCATTCTATCCCCGTTTTTCTTTTCCACCTGTATTTCATCCATGCCTACTTTTCAAAAATTCCCTGCTCATTAAACATGGGGACGATGTTGTGGTTGGAATCGCCCACCCCGATGCATCTGCCAATCCCACCCTTACTAACCTTGCTGAGTGCTCCACTGAGCATAACTTAACTCTCAATTTCTCTAAATGCGTAGACATGCTGCTCTTACTTCACAGAGGGAATCGTAGTGCTAATCTCCTGGACTCCTGTTCCACGCTGAACCTACACAATGATACTATTATCTAATCCCTAAATGTCAGGTATCTTGGTGTGTCAATAAACCGTATTTGTGCTGGTCTTACCAAGTTATTTCTGTATTTAGAAAGGTCAGGAGATTATCATTTTGTCTTACGTCTGAAGGCACTATCCGTCCCTCGCTTCTTGATTAAACGTTTCCTTTTTGCTGGCGTTTTGCCCCTATGGCTTTACCGGTCCTCCGTAATCTTTCCAGGGATGCTCAAGAAGGATATTAAATAGCTTTCCAAATCCCTAACATATTTATCAAGAAATAACGGGATTTCCCGTGAAACTCTCTATCACTTCATCATTTCATAACAAACAAAGCCATGCTTTTCGTTATCAACAAAAATCATAAACAACCCTTCACATCCGTTACATCAAGATCTTAATTGTGCGTCCATCCGGTTCTGCTATAATCGTTTATTCGCTCGTACGACCGCCTATTGGTCTTCTGTGGTCCCCAATCTTGCCCGTTTTCTCGTCAACCCAGAACGCATTGCTTCGGAACTTAATTCATTCATATAGTAAATTGTTACCTTTTCTCCTCGCTTACCTAAATTCGGCTATAGTTTTCTTCGATAATAATAATAATAATAATGGCTGACGATGTGGCTATTGAATATCCACCTTTCGGATTGTATAAAGGGAATACTTGACTTGCCCACTGTTTGGTGTTTACACACACACACACACACACACACACACTCACATGAGGTAGTGACTGTGTTTAATCGGTTTCGAGGAAAATGGTTGTGTACGTGTATATATGCAAATCGACGAGCTAATTAACCGAATGACATTTTGGTATCCAGTACCCGGACACATTCCGACGACATTCCCACTAGAAGTCTGGACACTGTTTTTATGGTTGCCCCGTAAAATATCGTCCCCGAAAGTTTCCTCAACTGGCAGACTGGACAGTTGTGTTATTTCATAATTTACCACATCGATTCTTGTCCAACTGTGTCCTGGTAGGCACTATTCAGAGCATCGATCTGTTCTCTCTTTTTTTCTGTTTTTTGTCCTTATTTGCCTGCACGAGGTAAATAAGCCGCTCGGACCCGGAGCGACCGATCCTCGGCACAGGTGTAAACGAAATAGAAGACCAATTAACGGCGGTGACACCTGTTGTTTTGAAGCCGAGTTTCTATCTTACTCCTGCTCGCCGTAACGGATTGGACCCGTGTGTATGTGTGTCGGTCGCCCCGTATTCCTTTGGGATATGTATTCCCATGACGGTCACCTTAACATTCAGTTCAGCTCGCATTAGATACCCTAAAGTTACCGGACCATATGCAAAAAATCGATGGAATACCGCAAAAGGAAGAGCGGTAATATATCGATTGCTTAAATGTTACCCTATAGCTTATCAGGACTTGATTTGGCAGCAGAGCTCGTATGTTTTAAAGGTTTGTCCCCTAAACCATGAATTGTTTTTTTCTAGTTACCATCATCTGAGTCTCAATAACCCCGAACAGCATTAGCCAGCGAAAGTGTGAACGCGTCTGCAACGCATCAGCGGATCATTGGCCCGAGTACTCTCACCGCGAAGCATCTCCATGTTTATATGTCTGATTGTATTTCAGTGATTGTGTGCGTATACTTCCCGGTTCTTTTCGCCGAGGAGAACATCTCGGTAAATATCCGTGGGCAAGTGGCTCATTTGCTTTACATAACAAGGGCAGTCTCTTCTTAATTTGTGTGAATCTTGATGGGATCTGTTCACCTTAGAACAATATAGAAGGACTGAGTGTCAAAGGCACCGACGACTGCTGTTCTTTAAATTAAAAGCGGATATGTGGCGAACAGGGCTTTATCTAGTGTCAAATTACAGCACGTTTAACTCAAGGAAGTAACACAGGGAGACAGTCAAATCAGGGTTTTGGTATGTGAAAAATGGGGGTTGAGGGGTTGGGAGGGAGGGAGGGAGAGAGATGATTCAACCCTGAACACATGATTGGTGATAATTCCTTGAGGAGTGTGAATATTCAACTGAAATCTGAAATGGGGGCACTTCGGACATATGGCCTTGGGAGGGAAAGGGGTTTAATGGACTGTTTATTTATTCTATTTCCTATCGCCTCTGCTGTGGATAACAATCGGGTTTTAACATCCTTGGACCCTTTAATAAATAGAT